ATCTCTTTCACAGTTAAACTAGTTCTCTGTCCTTTATGTTTTGTTGCTTGTGTGGTAATAGTATGGTCCATTCATGTTTGCCAGGAGGCATAAGTGATCTAGAAATTGGACAATGCGCATTTGAAAAATTAAGTGTGTCTTTAGCATGTTTCCTCTTGGAAATGATAGCCCTCCATGGCTGTATAATTTTCCTAGTAATCAGTTCCTCCAGGATCTGTCTTGCCCCAACAGGTTTCTCATAATCTTTGCTCAGCCTGAGCAGTTTCAGATGGAGGATAGAGTGGAGATGTGTAGAGATGAAATTTATGATAGAAGGGAGCGACCTTGAACCAGTATCTGGAAACACAGTGTTGATTAGAATTAAATCACAGGTTTGCTTTCTATCTTTCATAGATAGTTAGAATAATATTTTCAGGGCAGCTTCTGAGTATCATCCTAAAGAAGATATTTTAACCAAGAATTTCTGAGTGAAAGAGCCACTCCCACTAATTCATAGCTTCTCTTTTATTCTTCTAAAAACGTGTCAGTCCATGCAGTATTTCTTGTTTGCCTAGATCACTGGCCACTCATAAATGAAGGTTCTCTAAATTTTAAGTGCAAATTGTTTGAAGTAGTTTCTCCCTTTATATCTCTGGTACTTGGTTACTTTTGATACAGCCCATTAGTCTGATGAATGAGTAATTCATCCACTTACATTCTGCTGAGAAAGCAGACTGTGCATAGTTTGGGTTCATCCATGAAAAGTGCTTTTAGGGAATCCTGTGCAGATGACCTGAAGTAGTAGAGCTCATTCTGGTTAAGGTGAAGAAAGAAAAAATATTGAAATCTGCAAATAATCACTAAATTAATTCCTTACCAGTTCTATCAATGTATTTCTTATCTTAGCCCAACTATTGCCATGAAGAATTGCAGTGAGAATTTATTGTAGATGATCCCTTGGAGTTATTTTTATTATCAACAAAGGCAAAAAGTTCAAAGGGAAAACAGTAGCCTTTGTTTACTGAAGAATTTTTAAAAGGATAAAATGTAAGCTGTTGGGTTTTTTGCAATTATTTTCCTGAGTTCTGACTGTCTTTATAAACCTACAGTTGTAGCAAGTGCCCTAACAGCTCCCATTCCTGCCATGCCAGACTTAATCTGGGAGGAAGTGTGTGTGTGTGTGTGTGTGTGTGTGTGTGTGTGTGTGTGTGTGTACACAATTTTAAGGTCTTTTTTTTTCCTTTTTTCTTATTGACCTGACCTATTTTCTCTGTACTTCCACTCCATCATCTTACTTACTGTTTTAGCCCATTGATATGGTAGAACTTTCGGAATCCTAAGTTTTTGCCAGTCTGGCAGAGAGCCTGTGTAATCTTTGATTACTAATACCCTTTATGAATGGAATTGGTAAAATTAGTATCCTTATGATCACTGCACCTCAAGAAGGACACAGGCCAAGGAAAGGCAGCTAAAATAGCCAAAGGGTTACATAATACTATATCCATAGAATTTCTACCAGTCGCATTTCTACCAGTCAATTTGGAATAGAAATGTGAGACCAGGACCTAAGGGATACAATTCATCAAATTGTATTTCCTGCTCCCATTTACTGGGAGCTACTATGTTTTTTTCTCAACAACTCCAGTATATTAGCCTATGCCAAGTTATGGAGAGATACCTAAGCCCTTTTTATTGTACTAGAGGCCCGGTGCACGACATTCATGCACTGGGTGGGGACGGGGGGGTCCCCTCAGCCCTGCCTGCGCCCTTTAGCAGTCCGGGAGCCCTCAGGGAATGTCCGACTGACGCAGTCAGACATCCTTAGCGCTGCAGAGGAGGCAGGAGAGGCTCATGCCACCGCTGCTGCACTTGCCAGCCATCAGCCCAGCTTGTGACTGAGCAGTGCTACCCCTGTGGGAGCTTACTGACCACCAGGAGGCAGCTCCTGCGTTGAGCATCTGCCCCCTGGTGGTTAATGCACATCATAGCAACCGGTCGTTCTGCCATTTGGTCAATTTGCATATTATCGTATTATTATATAAGATTATATAAAGTTTTTCCCTCTATTCCTACATTTCCTTTACCTCCTCCCTCCCCAAAAGGACAACATAAGTGTGGAATGAAGAAAGCTATCAAGAGAATTGTAAAGTACACCGATAGGGGCACTTGAAACAAAGTCAGAGCCATTTCTCAGAAATCTACTGGTCCCACACAGGTCATCAAAAGGCAGGATTAGTCCATTTAAAGTGGTTGCTTGATCATGTGAACATAGTCCATAAGCATGAATCCTTGTTTATGGTAGTTAACTATCTTTGACCTTGAATTTCCCATATCTGAGCCAAAAGTTTATGTCACCAATCTTAAATAATGACTGCACAAAGAAGAAGCCCAACTAGGTAGATTTCTTTCTATAATGTTTCTACAAATCTAAAAAGGAATATGACCCTAATCGTTTTAAGAATAAAAACTTTCTTCTTTATCGTCCTTATCGTGGACATCAGGAAAGACTGTAGGCAGTCTCCAAAGGAACTGTCTGAAGCTCCAGATTATATCTGTCTGAGCTGGAGAAGAGGGACCATGTGGCAGATGTATGACCACATCTGTGTAATCTTTCTGTGCAGTCTAATCTCCATAGTCCCTATGGATTATTGTTTCTTATCCATCATTGTGAAATACCAGGAAAATAAAAGAGAATTTGAAGTTTAAACTAAACCTATAAGAAGTAAGGTCAGTGATAAGATTCAGAATAAGCCTTAGGATTTAGCCTTCTGGCTCATTTCCTAACTTCTGTCCATAAATTCTTGTTTATTTTGCTAGAGTAGCTAGGTTTTACAAAGAATCTAGCCCTCTAGTTAAGCTTTACAACCTGTCTGTGTTGGGGGAGGAGTAGGCAGGAATAAAGGAAACTTCTTTTTTGATGATCCTCAGAAGTAGACTGAGAAAGAATTAGACCCTTGAATACAAGGAAGTTTTGAAAACTATTTATATAAATACTACCGTACTTATTAAATGGGGGAAAGGGGAAAGCAGACAGAAATGCAAAGCTGTGTGATATTCAGGGTCAAATGTGCCATTCCATTTCCCATATCCAATAGTATTAAGGGCCATAGAAACAAGCTGGCATGTAGCCAACTTTAAGTACCCAACTGAAAATAAAATAAATATCCCCCTTGGATTCTGTTAGAGAAAACTAGGTTGCCTGAATGAGCAAAAATGGAAAGAGGAATGCAGTATTCCTAATCTTTCCACCTAGTTATAAAAACTTGGTTATTAAAATATTGTAGGTGGATTTTTATCATGGATTGAAAGTAAGGAATCCTAAGATTTTGTTTTTGTTTTTCAGTTCTATCTTTGAGTTATATATTCAGGATTTTTTTGTTAGTATTTTATAAAATTATTATTTTTTTAATTTGATGAAGTAGTAGAATAAGGATAAGAAGAAAAATGAATGGTAGAGGTTTTAAATAAGAAAGGAGTGTTGCCCTAGCCAGGTGGCTCAATTGGTGGTAGTGTTGTCCTGCACACCAACAGGTTCCAGCTTGATTCCTACTCAGGGCACATACCTAGGTTGCAGGTTTGATCCCTGGTCAGGGTATGTAAGAGAGGCAACCAATCAATGTTTCTCTCTCTCTTTCTCCCCCTTCCTCTCTCTCTCTTTCTTTCCTCTCTCTCCCCCCTTCCTCTCTCTCACCCCCTCTTCCTCTCTCTCTCTAAAATCAATAAAACATATCCCCAAATGAAGATTAAACAAACAAAAAGAACAAAAGTGTAAGCCAGGAATTAAGATATGCACATAGATTGACCTAAAACCAGAAATCCAGTGAATCAGTAAATAAACTTTGCTACGGTTCCACTCATCATTACTCTTCCACAAGTTCCATTCATTGTAATTGCTTTTCAAATCAAAACATTTGATTGCATGACAGCACAGTAGAGCTATTTTGTGGACCTTGAGCCCAGTTCTTAGAAACAGTGGGGTGGAGCTAAATTAGAGAATATACAGTTCTTGAGAAACAAATAGTTAAAGATGGCTGTGGAGTTCAGAGAAACTAGACAAAGTAGCACAGCTCATGATTAAACCATTTTCTTCAGATTAATTTTTTTTTTAGGTTACAAATTGAGACAACGAATGGTATTGCAGTATTGTATTTTTTGATTTATTCTTTAATACCCATTCTTATTCTGAAAAAAAGCTTAGCTTAAATCTTCTTAGATTAGAGCTATGGGAGGAAAACAACTAACACTAACCAACTGCCAATTTACCTCCTATAAGTAGAATTTTTCTTCTAAAGAGAATGGGTTAGGTATGTTTGATAGCTTTAGGAGATGAGTTTTCCAAGTACCCTAGACTCCATGAGAAATCTGTGGGCTGAGGGAGGTGGAGACCCGCCATGCCATGCAGACAGAACAGCTCAATGGGATTCTGCTGTAGCTGGGATCAGAGCTGTCCCCCACCCTGGCAGAGAGCAGCACCAGGCCCAGGAGTCTGAGATCCTGCTGAGCATCAAGGGCCAGCTGGAGGCTGAGATTGCTACCACTGCCTGCTGGAAGAAGGGAGGACTTTGATCTTGGGAATGCCCTGTGTAACAGCAATTCCATGCAGTCCGTCCAAAAGACCAACATCCCCACAATTGTGGATGGCACAGTGGTCTCTGAGGTCAACAACACCAAAGTCCTGAGGCGTTAAGGCAGCAGAAGTGGGGCACCCCTTGGAGGGCAGGAGGCCAATAAAAACTTCAGAGATTTTTTTTAAAGTATCCCTTTTCTCTACCTCTTAGTAATGCTGTCATATTATCCTGTTTGTTTCCTTCATAGCATTAATCACACCATGAAATTGTTCTGTTTACTTGTTTATCAGGTACCTTGTCTGTCTTATTCACTGATAAATTACTAGCACTTAGCTTAAAATTTGGCATAGTAGGAGTTTTATAAATATTGATTGATTGAATAATGAGAGGCATATTCAGGCTCTCTGCCTGACTGCCTATTTGGAATTTCTAATGCCCTCTTTCCTCCACCAGCTGGAGTTGCGAACACAAAAAGAGAAGCCATCAACACCCTCCTCAAGTTCCAGCTTCCCACTCCCCACCCCCACTTCGGTTGCGGAAGTTTTTGCTTCTTGGTTTTTGTCCCAGATGGACTTTTGCAGTAAAGCAGTGATGTGATAGTAAGATACCAGGCTGAATATGCCTTTGTCTAGACTTAATTTGATATAGAAAGCCAATTTATACCTTGTTTTCAGTGTTCTTAATTCTAATGCCTGGCTAGGATTGCAATTGTATCTAAATTCTGAGCACACTGCTTGCCTGGGGCAGCAGTAGACCTTTTCTTCAAATTTAAATTAGCTGAAGGCTGGTTGTTCTACATGTGAAAATGTGTTCTTAATATGCTGACTGAACACAGGCCATCCAGTTAAGTGAATTATCTGAAGTGCTTGCTTTTTATCTACAACATGATTAGAAAGCCCAAGAGCAGTGAAATTTCATTAATGGCATCAATTTGTCCATTATTACAAAAATTGTCTGTTTCCTGCAACCCAAAGAGACTACATTTCTTCTTATCTCATATTTAAATTTGAACACACATTGAACATATCTATTCAAGGAATGATTCTGCAAAATAAGGGTTAGGTTTCTGAAACTCAAGGTGCCACAATTTCCAAAGATGATCTTTATGAGCACAGTTACTTCTCTCCATCTCTAGAATGTAAAAAAATAATTCTGAGTAAAGACGCTAGAAGAGCATTAATTCAATGGATGAAATGCCACGTATTTATCAAGAATCAAGATTTTTATATCCTTAAGGTATTATATATTATCCATTTTCTTAGAATCTTCTGATTCTCAACTTTTCCTGGAAAAATGAGCCATTCCCACCATATGGTGACGAACTCTGTGGACCACACCAGTACCATGCCACCTTCTCACCATCACCCGGCCACTTCAGCCTCCCACCTCCACGGAGGGGGAGACGGCAACATGATGATGATGATGGTGAGTGCCATGGGAGAGGCAGCCTGGGCCCTTTCCCACACACTTGGGTAGTAGAAAGAATTTAATTTTAGGACTGGAAGATTGTTATTTAAAGGCCAATTTACCAGTCAGAAAAAACTAAGGCTGATCCAGATGAGGCAGGTGATTTGCCCAAGATCATGTGGCAGGTTAATCACAGAGCCACACCAGAAACAGTATTTCCAGGGTCCTTTCTTCTATATTCCTCCTCCTTTCAAAATTAACTCTTTTCTAAATTGAGTTATGGTATTTATGTTTAGTGTAGAAAAGAGAAAAAGACAAAAGTCAGTGATGGGGACAAAGGAGCACTTATGGAGCGTGCTTGTGTAGTAACGCTAAAATGAGGGGGAGAACTTCCCACTGTGGTGAATATTCTCCAGATCTGCAGCTTTTCAGTATTCTAAGGTTCTTTACTTGAAATTCTCATTTAGAATCTCCAGTCATCTCTAATTTGACTTGTTTTGGTTTTCTACAGCCCATGACCTTCTACTTTGGCTTTAACAATGTGGAACTATTGTTTTCTGGCCTGGTGATCAATACAGCTGGAGGTGAGTAAGCCATCAGGTGGTGTTTGAAGGAGACAGGCGCTTGAGAAACAGTGATAAGGAATCTGGAAACCCAGCATCTCTTTCTGTTGTATTGCTGAATCATTAACGGTTATGATCCTTAACCATCTTGCTTCCTAGATAAGGATACACACTCCTTATTTTAGAGTTTCTGAAAATATAATTTAGATACCAGATAGGAGTCTTTTGCACTCCATTCCCTTTCATCCTTTTCCAGTGTTTCCTGTTTGATAAGTTATTGGTCATGGTCATAAGACTATAGTCAAGTTAAAATGATGTAAGAAGCATTTATTTATATATAAAATAACTCTAGGTTAAAAGCTATTGACCTACTACATTGCTGCTATTTTACAGATAAGTCAAGCTTCAGATAGTGAAATGCTTAGCCCTAAATCACAGAAGTAGTATGTCCGAGCTAGAACAGGGACCCAGACCTTCTAGCCCTGCCTAGTCCAGTGTTCTTTCTAGGGTACCATACTGTGCTCTACATCATTTCTGATTCTTGGCATGGCCCATCTTAGTGTCAGTCCTAGATTTGGGATAACTAATCACCACCTTCTTTGTGTCTATAATGTTGAGTTGGTGTGCCTTAAGTTCAAATTGCACAAGCTGAATAGTTAGTTGAACTGCATTAGGTGCAGTTATATCTTTGGAACCACAAAATCAATTTGTCCTGGGAAGAAGGGATTTATTTAATTCAGGTAGTGTGTAAAATCAGAAGTTTGAATACATTACCAATGCTTCCCAGTGTGAAAGATTTAGAATTGAAATGCCTAATCAAGAAATGGAGTCAGCACTTACAAATAAGTTATTATATTCCCCTTTTGCGTAATGTATTCAGAATTAAGAGTACCATCTTTTCTATGTTGTCTTTCTAGCTTGGATGGCATGCCAGCTATTGATTTTGCAATGTTTGACAGTACCACCATCTTTTCTTTCCCTGCCTAGAAATGGCTGGAGCTTTTGTGGGAGTGTTTTTACTAGCAATGTTCTATGAAGGACTCAAGATAGCCCGAGAGAGCCTGCTACGCAAGTCACAAGTCAGCATCCGCTACAATTCCATGCCTGTTCCAGGACCAAATGGGACCATTCTTATGGAGACACACAAAACTGTTGGGTAAGAAGACTAAACAGATCCAGATAGAAGTTCTGGAGAGCTGAGTTAGCTAAGTAGCAAAGCAACTATTTTATTTACAACAGCCGCCTCTTGAGTTAGTGATTCTGTAAGACCTTGATCAAAACTGTCTTTGGAGGCTTGTGGCTGAGGGTCGTGAACAGGCCAAAGGAGGAATAATAGGAACCCTTCTGCAAACATGAACATTTGTTCTAAATTTTAAGTATTGGTCACTTTGAAAAAAGGTAAGGAATCCATATTGTAAAATATTTGCGTAAATAATAATAAACAAGAAATTCAAGTCAGGGTATAGAAGAATGGCAGAATCTAACTGATTCCTTTCTCTAAAAAATTGTACCTACCCAGCTTTAGTCTCAGTTTGTTTATAATATGACTATACAAATGTCTGCATTCCATCTAAGAAAGTATTTGTGATGACTGTTGGTTTCCCCACAGATTGACAAATGATTTTTGAGATTCAGTCTTAATAGAAATGTAGGTCTGAAAACTCAATTGGAGTTCAAGCAGTCCCTCAGACCAATATCCTGCTCTCAAGTAAACACAGTGTTATTAATATCCACTGTACTGGTGAGCTTATTGAGACCAAACAGGTTGTGACTTATATAAGGTGACAGAACTAGTAAATGACAGAGGGGATAAATAGACAGGTCTCTTGATCCCTAATTAATACTTTCTACTGTACCTCCCACACCTCAATTCCATTTCCACTTTTTTAGAATGTGAACTTTGTAAAGGTGGAAGGCCTGAAAATATTCAGGCAAATAAGCATGGGAGGCTTTAGGCTTCTCTTTTAGGATCCAAGGTGGAGGTAAGTCAGGGGTATTAGGCCTCCTTCCTCCTCAACTTTCACAGAGTTCCTCCTACTGACACATCGCCACAACTAGCTATTGCTTATAAATCTGACCACCCTATTATGTTTCGTTTCCGGGGATTAATAAACAACATACATACACAAAAGTATCCATGAGCCGCCAGGGTGGATCTGAGGGAGTCCAGTTCAAGCTTTCATGACAAATGCTCCCCTCTTCTCCTGATGTTGCAGAGCTGCCTCAACACTCCCAGGGGTCTTTGATTGACGTTTCCCTTTTTACTCTCCAGGCAGCAGATGCTGAGCTTTCCTCACCTCCTGCAGACAGTGCTGCATATCATCCAGGTGGTCATCAGCTACTTCCTCATGCTCATCTTCATGACCTACAATGGGTACCTCTGCATTGCTGTAGCAGCAGGGGCCGGCACAGGATACTTTCTCTTCAGCTGGAAGAAGGCAGTGGTAGTGGACATCACAGAGCATTGCCATTAACGTCAAACTCCATGGTGCGGCCTTATCGATTGCAGTGGGAAGCAGTTCAAGACTGGAAGACATTATTCCTACTCGAATCTTCCCTTCTTGCTCCTTAACTCCTTACACACATCTTCTCAATAGAGGTTTAGCTCACAGTCTCTGCGCTAAAGTAGTAACCCCTGACTGTTCTTCTTCCTGCCCTGAGATTCCCATTTCTCTTGAGGTGAAACCACCCATGAGATGTCTTCTCCTCCACCATCATCTTAGATCCAAGATATATGTTCTTGTCTAATCCAGGTAGCTGTCTGTCTCTTCAGTGACTTGATCACCTCCTTTCTTTTTTAGTTTTTTGTTTTTATTTTTAATAGACAATCTGAATTTGGTGGGGTTTTCCTAGGTCAGTGGTGGAAAAGCATTGACTTCAGCTAGGAGTCATGGCAGCTGAGGGAAATTCTTGCCCAACAAAACCCAAAATCCAAACTTAACACTAAAAAGTAAGTTCTAGTCTTTGGATTCAATGAGTGGGAAATACGTTGTGCCTTTCCTAGGTGTGATGTGTTGCACCAAAACCTTAGTAGTGCACAGAGGGTGGTTTGAGACTACAAGTCTAGAGCTTACAGAAGTGTGCATTTTGGGGTGGCTGACTCATCCATGGTGTTCCCACTTAGCATTTTGATTAGAATGAACTTGCCAATCAAAAAAAAAAATAGGACAATCAAGTTGAGAAAATAGACATAAGTATTTTAAAATAAAACCATTGACATTTTACTTTAACTTGGTGCCTTGGTTTGTCACAACTGAATGAAGCAAAAAAGTTTGAATCATTATCTACCATTGTTTTTTATGTCTGCCTCTAAACCAGTGGTTTTCAAACTTTAGCAGGCATTAGAATCACCTCAAGGGCTTGCTAAAAATGCTAGTTGCTGGGCCTCAACCTAGAGCAGTGATGGCGAACCTATGACACGCGTGTCAGAGGTGACACGCAAACTCATTTTTTTTGGTTGATTTTTCTTTGTTAAATGGCATTTAAATATATAAAATAAATATCAAAAATATAAATCTTTGTTTTACTATGATTGCAAATGTATGTGACACGGCACCAGAGTTAAGTTAGGGTTTTTCAAAATGCTGACACGCTGAGCTCAAAAAGTTCGCCATCACTGACCTAGAGCCAAAACTTGGCATTTCTAACAAGTTCCCAGGTGATGCTCCTGCAGATGGTCAGGGGAACATACTTTGAGAATCTCTGCTTTAAAACTGGTGGGGTGAGCATGGTTATTTGAATTACTGATTGGCAGGTGGTATGTCTGGGCTTCACTCCTGTACTAAATGCTGCTGGTCGATACTTAATCATTCCACAAACATTTATTCAGCTCTGTGTGTATGTGTGCCCAAAGCACACATGCAGGAAGGGCTGTAGCCAGAGTAACTTTATCAGCATTATAAAATCACTAGTCCTTATTTGTAAAGATCTTGGAAATAGCTTGAAGGTTGAGAAAGACCTTTGATCTGCAATGCAAATTAGCCAGTCATAGGCCAGAAGGACAAAAGTCTAGCCCAAAAATCTAGTCTTTGGAAAGGCTTAGGGTGTGATCTGCTGATGGCCAGATATTCCTTAGCCCCAACATCCATGCCACACCAGGCAGATCCTCATCCTCTACATGACCATCTCTGTTACTTTTGGGGGCTTAGATTACAGGAGGCCAAAATCTCTTCTCATCAAGAATCCCATTGGCTTTTTAGTTGTTAGTCTATGCTGCAGCTTTGTTCCTAGTCCAAACTACCTCTATAAAGTGACTCTCCAATGCTGGTCTGTTAAATCCTGCCCTCCTTGGTGCTAGACTCCACTTGTGCCTCAGGGCAGAAGAGAGGACACAGCTATCCAGTTGGCCTTTGTTGTGGTTGTAAAGTTTGTACTTTCTCTGTGGGTACAGTTAAATAGTGGAGTGAGGAATATGTAGTTCCATGGGTTTGAACCAAGAGAGGGTTATGAGCCTACTGGGATCGAGATTAAAACCTAAGAACCAACGCTTTGTGCTTTTCTCTCATTCCAACCCCTTGTAGTGCTGATACTTAGCATGAGCAGAGTGAATGACTGGTACTGACAGAGTCCAACATTAAGGTATATGTAGCCTGTTATTGTCTCAGAAGCCAAGGAATAACAAAACTTTGAAAAATAAAATAATATTTCGTAGTGACCCTGGTGCTCTCTAGAAATCTTGGCACGAGCTGCTATAAAATAACCTTTTAGGAACAGGACCTTATAATTAAGGTAAAAAAAAAAAAAATCAAGGCCAGTTAAGACAAAGTGCTATGAATTTGAAACTGGGCTAGGTCTTCAGATAGTCAAGATAGAGTCTCCTGAAAAACCCGAATTCCAGCAATTCTTAGACTAGGTTGCCAAAGCAAGAAACTAATGAAGGAGAAAAATAATAATAATAAAGTTTAAATTCATTCTTTCTTGAGCTCTTGATTGTGATAATAATCTTGTTGACTTTTATTTCTATATCCCTGTTCATTTGAAATTTTAGTGCCTGACTTGTTTGTTCCTTTTGGATCCAAATTACTCTTTTCCTCCTACCCCGTTCAAATATTTTAGAAGCTTGTATCCCTATTTCTTTGGCACCTATTTTGCGCTCCATTTCCTTTTTCTGTCTTTCATAACTAGAAGATAACATCTTTTATCCCATAGATCTAATTTATCAAATCTCCCTTGCCTTCCTGATGTAGAACATTGCCTATACAATAGAGAGAGATCCCAACCAGGAGTTGTAAAACTTGGTAGAGACCTTAAGCACGTTTTGAGGAGCAGTTGTCCACTGGGATTTCTATAAAGCTGGGTAAAGGGCTATCTGGTGCCATCTGCAATTACAGAATCATAGCTGCACTCTCCAGTCTGTGCTGGAGGAACACTCAGCTCCTCAATGCCCACAGACTTCACAGAGATTAAGGTTTCCTCACTACTATGGTAGGATAGTCTGGAATTCCCGTTCAGGCTGTGGGGCACTGGTCTTGAGTTCTAGCCATAAAGGGTTAGGAGCTGGAAGGGGAGGGAGCAGGAGGTACACTTTCATGTCATTTAATTTTGATCCTGCCCTCCCCAGCTGCTTCTTTCAGAAGATATATCTAAAGATACAAAGTCTGCATTTGATGTAATGCCTTAATTACTGGGTCCACAGTTAATGTTGACTGTTTTAGATTGTAAGCTCCTGGAGAGCAGTATTGCTACAGTAGGAATGTTTTAACAGTGTCGTGTACAAAAGAAGAAAATAAATATTTTGATTTTGTGATCCTATGCATGTTCTTTTACCCAAAGTGATATCAGAATACGTGGTCTCTTATTGTGCACACAGTGTCTTGGCCATTACCATCAGTTTTTAAGATGTCAGTTTTAGGTGGCATGGTCCCTGTTTTCATATCATTCTCCTCCTACTCTACTCAAAATGACAAGCTAGTCCATGATGCAGCTACATGAACTTTTGTACAGATGAGCTTCCTGAAGCTGCAAATATCTCAGTATACCAAGAATCCCCAAATTTAAAAGCTAACTTGTCCTATCAGAAATCTCTTCCCTATATTTATGGTGTCAGGCAAGAGGCTCTGAGTTGGGCCTCTAGGAACTTCACTGCTGAGCCTTGAAGTGAGCATTGGCCGTGCCTAACCCTTTGGTAATGCGAGAATCCTGGTGTTATTTGCCCTTCCTACGGGACCCCAGATGGCCACTTTGCCATTCAGCACCACTTCCAGTCTTTTCCATAGTACAATATGATGAGCATGGACTTTGTGGAGTCAAGTGTACCTGGGTTTGGGTCCTGGCTCCACCACTTTCTAGAAATGTGACCTTCAGCAAGTTATTTTAATAATCCCTAAGTCTTAGTTTTCTGTTATAAAAAGGCAGTAACAGTATTTGTTTGAATTAGGAGCGATATGTATAAAGCCCCTTATAGGCATCCAAGTCATAGTAAGTATATATATATAATTACTGTTTATTTCCTATCAACTCCCATCCAAATATAATCTCCATAAGAGCAGGGATTTTCTTTTTTTGTCTACTTTATTCACTGCTCTATCACTAATTTCTAGAAAATGCCTGGCACCTTGGAGAAGCTCAGCCAATGTTTTTGTCACATGAGCTTGGAATTGAACTAGATAGAATGAATACACTGCTCAATAATTTACAGTATCTTCTGTAAGGAACTCACAAAACTAAAAAGATAAAAGAGTAATAATAGCAACAATGATAGTTGTTATTTATCCAGCACTTGTTCTGGACCAGTCATGGAGCTAAGCTCATTTCACTGTTTTATTCCATTTCCACAGTAGTCCTTTTAGATATATATTATCTCCATCATATTGATAAGACAAAGGCTCACAGAATTTAAATCATTGGCTCCAGATAATACAGCAAGAAAGTGACTGTGCTAGAATTTCAGCTCAAGATGCTTTTCACTCCACAATCCATGATTTTTAATCTTTTAGAGAATTTTCCCAAACATATACAAAAATAGAAAAAAATCATGTTACGAATCCCTCTGCACCCACCACTCAGCTTTAATCAACAATGATAAATCCACGGCCAACTTGGTTCCCAGAGTCCCTTGCTATATGATCAAATAAGTGGAATAGAAAATTTATTCCTTATGAGCAGAAAAGCAGAACTGCACACAAGAGTAGCTTGGAAAGCCCTCATGAGATCTGCTTTGGTTAAACTCTCCTTTCCCTCCTCCCCACTAGCTGACCACCCAGGCTTCATGTGAAACCCCAGGGGATGGAATACTCAATGCCTGTTCTGTTACTATGCTCAGGAAGTGTGAGGCCTGATTCAAAGGAAAACTGCATGAGAAGAATCAATTTACTAAGTGTATGTGCTTTAATTACAGAAAAGGGAACGTTTCCACTAAGCCTCCAAGGAGTTTGGGGGGTCCAGAGGAACAAGTTCAGAATGGAAGATCAAGTTTACATATAATCACTAAAATCTAATCTCCACAAGGGTAGGGATCTTTGTTGATTTTGTTCACTGATGTTACTAAGTGCCTAGAATGGTACCTGGCACATAGTGGGCACTCAATAAATACTTGCTGAATAAATGAGTTAAACGTAAGTCAGTTATAAGGATGAAATGGAAGTGTTCTGTGAGCAGGGTCTTTTCATAAAGATGGGAAGAATGACGTCACCTCTGTAGCAATTACCTTTTAAAGTCTGGGTGTTAATAGTACTATTATACTTCATTAAGGATGTCTCATACTTTTCCAAAAATATATTTATTTTTAAAATTGAAAATCAGACAAGTTTTATAGAGTCAAATTCTCCAGAGACAAAGCAGAGTTTGGATTTCAGTAATCTCATGCAGAAGTATTTCCCTCTGCAGGAGGTAAAATATTCTGCTTGACTACAAGCACTCAGTTCCCTGAACCGCGTTTGTACTTCTGCCATCATTTTACACGATGCCAGGGCTCTAGCAAGTAAGAAAATCCACCTCTAAAATTCAAAATTTCCAAATTGAGATGAGCGATTGTTGGGCTTGGCTTGGGGTTTATAACCAATTCGATCATTAATCATCTGTTCCCGGTTCTTGGGGTCACTGCTGAGCCCTATGGCACCTTCTCCATCACTGCCTCCTACAACATCCACATCTTCCTTTTGTTTCTTACGGGTCTGAAAGTATAAAAGTTTTAGGATTAAGGCAACATTCTTTCCATTAGCAAAT